TTGATATGTTAATATAAGTATTCAAATCAAAGTTACAAAAAAAAAAAAAAGTGATTTGAATGAAATTCTAGTATAATTGAATGTATATTCCCAGATACATGTAGCAATAATATTGGATGCATATACAATTTTGAAGAAATGTGAAATAGAATTTATATTTAAAAGAACTAATAAGTTAATAATAGTATAATATGAATAAAATAAGAAACATAATATTTATCTGCAAAAATGAAAAAATTAATATTTTCATATGATTTGATTTCTATCAAATTCATACATTTCTTATTGAGTTCAATGTATGAATCAACACTTTTATTACTTTAATTGACTCTAATCTTATGAGTGAAGTTCTCTTCTTAACAAAAAAAAAAAAAAATCCATTAATAGTCCACAAAGAAAAGAATGAATAAATTTTAAATAGATAAACTTACAAAATTCTTTTAAAAGAACAATATCATATGTTTTATAAAAAAATTCATAAAAAAATAGTAATCCTTATTTCATACAACAATATACATATTTTAGACTAAGAGGAAAATAGGCATAAGAAAATAAAAACATAATATTATATTTAATTACAATATGAAACATGAAAAAAAAAAAAATTGAAACTCACTATATTAGTAAAAAGAAATTGTAGAGATGAGGAGAATATGACATTGGTATAGAGAAAGTGACTAACGAGGTGGGGAGGAAGATGGAAGGATAAGAAGATGGAAGGGGATTGAAAAAAATCATGGAAAGATGTCATTAAAGATCATGGGAGGGTATGCATTTATACATTTAAACATTGAGTTTTTTTTCCTTCATTTAGGAGTTTTTAAATATTTAAACTTTTGGTTTTTTATATTAAGACAATGCTGCCTCATCTAACACATTTATTCATTAATTATTTTTATCATTTACAATTTTTAATTATTTGCTTATCTATCACTTTTATTATCCTTTATAATTTTCATTTTTTGTCATTTATTTATAATTTATAATTTTCACATATTTTACATATTTTATTTTAACATTTTAAATTAATATAATATTGTATTTTAAATAAATGCATACCCTATTTAATGAAATTGGGTATAGATTTTGTATATGTATATTTT